TAAATTCATAAAATAAATACTCTAAAATACCTCTTTGTTTTTTAGAAAGGATGCTGGCTTGCCTTTTAAGTCTATATTAAAAAATATAGAGAAACCTAACCTTCAGTGTCTACAACTAGGCCAGAAAGTCGTACCTAGCCCATAATTTATGCCCTAAGAAAAGCAATAAACGGGGTCAAACTTTCCCCTTGATCATCTGGGGTCATGCTGAGGAAGCCTTGGTAAGAATAATAGTCATATTCCTCTATAATTTACCCCCAAATGTTCAGAAGAAATGACCTAGTTTGGGGGCCTTGTGCCACTTAGATAGTTGAAAATTCCAATTCTCCCTGGTGGTGCAGTGGTTAAGCACTTGGCTGCTACCAAAAGGTCGGCAGTTCAAACCTACCAGCCACTCTGTGTGAGAACAATGTGGCAGTCTGCTTCCATAAAGATTACAGCCTTGGAAACCCTATAAGGCAGTTCTACCTTGTCCTACAGGATCACCGTGAGTCAGAATCAACTCGAGAGCAACAAGTTTTGAATTTAACCAGGAACAGCACAATAGTTATAACTACAATTTCTAGGGAATTAGGGGAAAATAAAACTCTTTTGCACTGGTAGTTCAGTGGTAGAATTCTCACCTTTCATGCCAAAACCTGGATTAGATTCCTGGTCAATGCGCCTCATGTGCAACCACCACTCATCTGTCAGTGGAGGCTTGCATGTTGCTATGATGCTGAGCAGGTTTCAGAAGAGCTTCCAGACTAAAACAAGCTAGGAAGAAAGGCCTGGTGAACTACTTCCAAAAACCAGCCAATGAAAACCAATGAATCACAACAGTCTGATCTGCAACTGATTATGGGGATGTTTCTAAGGCTGTAAATCTTTACAGAAGCAGACTGCCATATCTTTCTCCCTAGGAGCAGCTGGTGGGTTCGAACTGCCAGCATTTTGGTTAGCAGCCGAGCAATTAACCACTGCGCCACCAGGGCTCCTGATGAATCAAAACAAACCCCACTGCCATCCAGTCGATTGTGACTCATAGCGACCCTACAGGACAGAGCAGAACTGCCCCATAGGGCTTCCAAGGCTGTAAATCTTTACAGAAACAGACTGGACACATCTTTCTCCCGCGGGGCGGATTTTAGTCAGCAGCTGAGTGCTTTAACCACCATACCACCAGGGCTCCTGATGAACAGGATCTAGGAATCTAATATTGTTCAAATAAGACACCATCACCAACGCCTAAGTTAGATACCTGACATTCCTGTTTTCAAAAACCCATGCTGCCCTCTTATGGATATTTTTGGAGCATGCCTATGAGATTATGTGACAGTAAATTTTAGTAAGATGTAATAAATGAAAAGTAATCATTTATTTAACTTATATATTAAAGAACTTAGCCTACATGCTCACATCAGAAACATATAATTGGTACAATAATTATACCAATTATAACTGGTATAATAATTGATTTTAAAACATTTTCCAAATTTTATGTTCTGAATAAAGTTCTAGCAACAGCAAGACAGCTCTGACAATCCAATCATCCAATGCAAATGAGAAATGAGATGAGTATTAAATACATATTTAATAAAAATAAATAAAACATTGCATTTAAAAACTTTTCGTTCCCTCCATACTCATTCCCCTGCCTTCCAGAAGCAAACCACAATCTGAATTTGGTATTTTTATTTCCAGTTCAATTTTAATACTTTTCCTACCTATAAATATACCTATAAATATATAGTATGGTTTTGTGTGTTTTTCTGTATCATACTATATTACATACACATACATACCCCCCACAAATGTTCCATGTCACAGGCTATACTTCTAAATCCAGCCACCCACTGTGACTGAAAATCAACTGAGAAAATATGGATAGCTTCATACAGAGATATCACTACTATTCTATATATGACAAATATTCTACTGGGTCATTAGTGTTATTTTTTTTAATTTCAGATTTTTCATTGCTGTCAATCAACCAAGTTTGGTTTATTAAGAGAAATTAAAAAAAAAAAAACTCGATATTTTAAAACTATTTTCTTCTCTAAGTTTTTTATCAGTCTGGTTTCTTTCTCCAAGAGTAACCTTTGTGAAAATATAGAAAAAAGTTCCTGGGTCTTGAAAAATGGACCCCTTTAGACTGGAAGCTATAGTAAAAAAAGATTGATAAATAAGAGGGGAAGGTAAAATAAGCTGGAGGAGAAGTGGGAGGGAAGGTATCAGATCATTCTCATCTGTGACTACATAATCCTAATGATACAGGTTTAGAGGAAGTTCTGCTGAGGCTCTCCAGAGGCATTTCAGTATAGCTCTTCCTCATACTCCTCAGGCTACTAGCACACTCTTTTGGCCTCCCCTAGCCTAGAGTTCACATGCTGGTAATTTACCCAAACCAACCTGTGACAGCATTCAAATTCAGAAAACATTCCATCTCTAACCACTCCGTGTTGCTTAGATTTCTTAGTTATTAGAATAAAATTAAACTAAAATGCTATAGCTCTGAAGTATTAAAAACTATAGTATGGAAAATCTCTGGAAGGATGTACAAGACATTGCACTCAGGTTTAAGGGAACCAGGTAGCTGGAAAACAGAAGGTGGAGGAAGACTTACTTTTCATTAATAACTTTTAGTACCTTTGAAATTTTATACTAAGTGCATGCATTACCTACTTATAAAATATTTTTAAAGCACTACAGTAAATAATATTCTAAGTGCAGATGAAAATGTAACGTCAGTTAAATTTTAGCAAGATTGTTCAAAAAATATTTTTTAAAGTTTTTTATATAAATATTTGAAATGGCAATCTAATTTAATAATAATGGAAACATCCCATTTTAAATTCAAAATCTCAAAACAACAAGTTCCAGCATCTCTCACAAGGTCAATACACATGGAGCTGAATCTCACAGCTCTTTTAGAATAGTTTACAAAAGCTCTCTCTCTGGTTTCCCTGACTGCCTATGATATGCCTTGCCCTCACCTACCAAAGCATTTTGTTAGTCCCTCTCCTTTGTCATTTATATTCTGTCTTGTATTAAAGTTACTTAAATACTTCCCTTATCCTCTTTCTAAAATGCAAGCTTATATCCTTGGAACACTTAAAGATATTACTTGGCAGACAGTAGGTACGCCCCTCTAAAAATGTTAACTTTCTGAATTGTTCTCAATGAGCTTTTGACACTACATGATCCTGAATTACTTAATATTTTATATCTCAAGGAGTACCTTCAGGAATTCTTTTTTCTTACTATATTTTAATTGTTTAAAATAATCTGAATCAGACCAGAAGAACTAAATGGTGCCCAGCTACCACCAATGAACGTCCTGACAGGGAACACAACAGAGGGTTCCTGATGGAGCAGTAGAACGATGGGATGCAGAACTCAAATTCTACTAAGAAGACCAGACTTAATGGTGGTCTGAGACTGGAGGCGCCCCAGAAAGCATGGCCCCTGGACTCTCTGTCACCCCAGAACTAAAACAATTTCTGAGGCCAACTCTTCAGACAGGGATTGGACTGGACTGTGGGACATAAAGTGATAGTCGTGAAGAATGTGCCTCTTAGTCAAGTAGATACAAGAGACCAAAAGGGCAGCTTCTGTCCAGAGGTGAGATGGGAAGGCAGAGAGTTAGGAGCTGGCTGAATGTTCATGGGGAATCAGGGGTGGACGGGAGGAGTGTGCTGTCACAGAATGGGGTGAGCAGTTGGGGTCTCATAACAATGTATGTTAAAAAAAAAATTTTGTATGGGCGAATAACTTGAAATGTAAACTTCATTTAATCACAACAATTAAAAAAAAGGAAAATAAATAATTTAAGCAACAAAAAAAATAAAATAATCTGAATCAGCTACAGATTAAAATCTCAGTTAACAAGACTATTCAAAAGAGACAGAACTCAATTTCAAAGCACTTCGTCTAAAAGGGCTGTTACCATTTTGGAAAAAATATTAAATAAAGTTCCTTTAAAAACTGAAAAATAAAAAAACTTCAATGTAAAATGAAACTATTGTCTATCCAATTTAAGTACTCTACATAATAATATACTTAGGTAGTCACGGAGTCAATTCCAACTCACGGTGACCCTATGTGTGTCAGAGTAGAACTGTGCTCCATAGGCTTTTCAATGGCTGATTTTTCAGAAGTAGATCACCAGGCCTTTCTTCCGAGGTGCCTCTGGGTGGACTCGAACCTCCAACCTTACTGTTAGCAGTAAGTGTTAACCATCTACACTAAGCCCTCCTAAAATGTCATATTTCTAAAAATATTAGCTTTTTATTTGGTATCAGGGTCTAACTTAAAAACACATCACTGAAAAAACTGCCTCCACAAACACATGTACAAAACTTTTAAAAAATCACTACCATGAGCTGTCACACATTCTATAAGTTCTTATATTTTCTCTCCCATGTTACAATAACTGTTCATTTAAATGGACTATATTGATAAGCGGAGCACTGGTGGCGCAGTGGTTAAGAGCTCAGGCTGCTAATCAAAACATCAGCAGTTCGAATCCATGAGCCGCTCCTCGGAAACTCTAGGGGGCAGTTCTACTTTGTCCTATAGGGTCGCTATGAGTCAGAATATTGGTAAGTATTTTGAAAACACATATCTTGCCTTTATCAAAGCATACGTTAATTTTTTGCTCAGATGAACTTGAAAATAATGAGAGTTTAGAATGTCTTCAGGGATATTTAAATCATTTTAGAAAAAAATAGGAACTTTATTCAGTAGATATATTCTAAACTGCGCCTATGTTTCAGGCACAAGTTGTGCTATTTAGGAGCTAATAAAAGGAAAAAAACACTATCTCCATTTTTTCTTATGTGTCCAATAGTAAATGATCATAATTTTGTTTAAATGTTATTAATTTTAGTTGTAAAACTAAAAGGGTTTTTTTAAATTCTCTTGTCACATTTTCTTTGTTACTCTAGATTCCACTTACATGCCTCATAGCACTATATCTCGGCTCTACCATGTCAAATAATCTTTTATAATCAACTTACACTACAGTTTTCAGGTGGAACTAGAAGTTGAGTAATCTCGCCACCATGCACACAGAAGATATGTTTCATCTCTCCAGAATATATGTCCCAAATGATGACAGAAAAGTCCACACCACCAGAGATGAGGTATCTTTGATCATAACGTGCTGAGACCTGATGAGGATATAGCAAACATGTGACTTTGTTCCGATGACCACGGAGTGTTCTGTGAGGTGGCCAACCTGTGGAGGAGGTTTTGGTTTTAAAATGGGAAAATGAAAAGTCTTACAAAGTTTCAACAAGTAAAAATAAACATGAACTGTCAAAATAGCTATGCATAATTTTATAACAGAAAAGGCTTATGATTCTATCTTCTAAAATCACTCTGTCCAATACGGTAGCCACTAGCCACATAAGACTATTGAGCACTAGAAATGTGGCTAGTCCAATTGAGACGTGCTGTAAATGTAAAATATATATGAAATTTCAAAGACTCAGTATAAAATATATAACATAAAATATCTCATTAAAAATTTTTATACTGATTGTAAGTTGAAATAATAATTTTTCTATATCGAGTTAAATAAAATATATTATTAAAATTAATTTCATGTGCTTATTTTACTTAACATGATTATTAGAAAATTTAAAATTATACATATAGCTTGCATTATATTTCTGCTGGACAGCACTGTTCTAGAAGATTATCAGTATTGCTGATAATAATTATTTCATAAACCACAGAGATAACTAATAAATTGAACTAACGGTTAATAGCATACATCAAAGAGATAAAATGGAATACTTCCTTATTTACATGAACATTTTTTAATTCAATAATAGCCACTGACTATTTTATCATCTGCATATTAAACTCTACCAACTGTATAGCATACCAACAACTACACTTGTTCATTGTATTTGTTAAAAAACAAAGAGTGGGGCATTTTCAAAATCACAGTTATGGAGTACTCAAACTCCTTTTTAGATCTTTAGTATACCTCTTCTGAACATGTGCTCCCCTTGGAGCAGCTGTACGATGGCCGTCTGTGTGGCAGGTACAATAACTATGCTCCCATCTTCACGACCACAAACAAGCCGTCCATGAGCTGGTATGTACACGCTTGCAGTTACTTTAAGAGGTTCATTACTATTGGGAATCACACTTAGCTGATCTATAATTCCAGCAGGACAAGGATTCAGTTTATCAAATGCCTCTTGCAAACTAATAGAAGTTGTCATCTTTAGCCCTGTAGAGGTTTTGTTTCATAAAAAAGAAAAACATTGGTACATGTTAAAAAAATGAAAAACATTAAAATAAGTGTGCTTCTGGTTGATTTGATAACGTACCAAAGGATAAAAACTGTCATTAAATATCATCCTAAGAAGAAAATAATACTTGTGCATTATGAATTTGTTATTCAATTGTTAGCATCTAAGATGTCAAATTAAAAGAATTAAATTGTTGTGCATGATTTACTACTACCTTCTTCATCTTCCTGTTTCTCAAGTGTATCTGATATGTTCCAAATACTCAATCTTCCAGAAGAATCACCCTGAATTAATAGTTTATGGAAGTATTCCTTGCATCCATAGAAGAACCGAGTAACAGGAGGACAAATTAACAACTGCTAAAAAAAAAAAAAAAAACAGTAAAAACTTTAACAACCACTAAAAAAAAAAAAAAAAAAAGTTTAAATATCTTTTTGCTATTTTTAATCAGATTATTTTGCACATTGGCCACATTTTTCATATAAAGATGTTAATTACTTTGCTTCAGTACCAGAGGTTAAAAAAAAAATTATACAGCAAGAGTATTCAATAATATTTTAATGTAATATTGTACCATTAAGGTACATGTCAACTAATATTCAAATCCAGAACAACACAGATAGCCAAGGATATAAAAACTATATTTATAGTCTTATCTAGAGTTAGTACTTACTCTTTTTTTCTCTGCCTAGTGAAAACTGCTTACTAAAACAGTGCAATTTATTTAATTACTTGTTATTCAATAATGAATATAAAGATATACCACTCTTTAGCAAAAAGAGTCTTCATTTAAAAGGCCAAAACAAGAAAACCCACTAATCCTAGCTTTTTCGCCCATTCTTGATTATTGTTGTTGTTAGGTGCCCTTGAGTCAGTTCCGACTCACAGCGACCCTATGTACAACAGAATGAAACTTTGCCCCATCCTGCACCATTCTTACAAATCATTGCTAATTTTTGAGCCCATTGTTGCAGCATCTGTGTCAATCCATCTCATTGAGGGTCTTCCTCTTTTTTGCTGACCATCCACTTTACCAAGCGTGATGTCCTTCTCCAGGGACTGGTCCCTCCTGATACCATGTCCAAATTACGTGAGACGAAGTTTTGCCATCCTCCCTTCTAAGGAGCATTCTGGCTGTACTTCTTCCAAGACAGATTTGTTTGTTCTTCTGGCAGTCCACGGTATATTCTTCACCAACACCATAATTCAAATGCATCAATTCTTCTTTAGTCTTCCTTATTCATTGTTTAGCCTTCACACAAATATGAAGCAACTGAAAATACCATGGCTTGGGTCAGGCGTGCCTTAGTCCTTAAAGTGACATCTTTGCTTTTTAACATTAAAAGAGGACCTTTACACCAGACTTGCCCAATGTGATATGTTGTTTGACTCCTCACTGCTGCTTCCATGGGCATTGTCTTAACTACCTAACGCTGCTGTAACAGAAATACCACAAGTGGATTGCTTTAACAAACAAATTTATTTTCTCATAGTTTAGGACAGGGTGCTGGCTCTAGAAGGCTTCTCTATCTGTCAGCTCTAGAGGAAGGTCCTTGTCTCTTTTAGCCTCTGTTCCTGGGCAACCTCCACGTGGCTTGGCATCTCTCTTTCCCCATCTCTGCCTGCTGGATTGCTTGTTTAACCTTTTTTATACCTCAAAAGAGACTGGTTCAAGACACACTCTACACTAATCCTGTCTCATTAACATAACAAAGACAACCCAGTCCCAAATGGGATTATAACCACAGGCATAGAGGTTAGGATTAACAACATATACTTTGGGGGACACAGTTCAATCCATAACAGGCATTGTGAATCCAAGAAAAATGAAATCCTTGACAACTTCACTAGTTTCTCCGTTTATCATGGTGTTGCTTATTGGTCCCTTAGTGAGGAATTTTTGTTTTCTTTACGTTGAGGTGTAATCTATACAGAAGGCTTAGTCTTTGATCTTCATCAGTAAGTGCCTTCAAGTTCTCTTAACTCTCAGCAAGCAAGGTTGTGTCATCTGCATATTGCAGGTTGTGAGTCTTCTTCCAACCCTTATGCCGCGTTCTTCTTCATACAGTCCTTGGTTAGTCATTTCTTCATATAGTTCTTGATTAGTCACTGAGAATAGCAGCAAAATTAAACTACCAAGCTTGTGCAACCAGAGAACTATATTTTTTAAATTAGTATATTTTTCACCTAATAGCATGGTCACATTTATATACTCAGTTTGAATCTATCCCGATGCTATCTATAAACTACTAAGAACAAATATCTTTCTTTAGAGTCTTGTGTATACTTTCATTTTAAAAACTAATTATTTTTCACCTTAAGATGTTGACCTTCAGGGAAATCTCTTACTTGAAAATGTTAAATAATGGCGGACTCCTAAAGTAAAAATTTAGAATATCAATTAACAAATACTTGAATATTAAAGTATAGAATCTCATTCTGAAAAGCAGTAATAAGTAGGCTTCAGTTCTGACAAATAATTATAGTTAACAAACTATCACACTTGCTATTAGGTGTTTTCTGAAAAGCATTAGTCTATGGAAACTATACGTATTAAGTATAACCAATTATTAGACTTTATTTACGTCTCAAAATTACTAAGAATTTTACTTGATAAACAATGTACTTAGCAAAGAGAAGTTGCTACAGCAGCAGTAATAACCAATATTCCGTATTTCAACATATGAATATCTCCCATAACATAACACAGCTATTTAAATTTAAAATGTACTGGGGTGCTGACATTTAAAGAAACATTATGTTTGTTACACAAGCATTATCTCTTAGTTTAATGGGAAGTGACTGTCTCAGCAGTAAGTAGGAGTTTAAGAGACTAAGGAACAAATTATTGAGGATCTTAATTGTATACAGATGCATAAATCTTAAATATTCAAAATAGTCATGGAAAAATCAATTCCTCAATTCCTTTCCCCTTTCCTTCCCTCTATATGAAGATAAAATTTTAAGAATGATCAGGTTGAGAAACTCAGAATTCCCCATTATTACACTTTACTTCCAAAACCAAAGCTTTTTACTTACTGCTCATAGAATATAGAGTTGAAAAACAAATACTAAGTGCTGTTGCTTTCCAATATTAAATGGACATTAAGCACACTTTCAAAAATCATAAAAAACCTCTCTTTTTATAGAGAAAAAAATTCTCTTATTCTTAATTTAGAATATCTAATGATTTAAATCTCTACATTCTTTCTGGAAAATACTGTAATGCCTGGTTCAAGTAATGAACTGTTATCAATTAACATTATTATACCTATTATTTTTGCCTCTCTAAAATTACATGTCACTATATTTATAATTATATGATAGTATAAAATAAATTTACTCCATCAATATGAATTTTATCAAATAGTCGATTCTAATGTGTAATCAGCATATGATCACTTGTATTCTTAGAGAAAGGTAAATGCCATATTATAGGCATATTTATATATAAAAATATTCAGATTTACAAATTGTGCTTAAAGCTAACCATGTTAAAAAGTTTTACAACATCTACCAAGTGCCATGAGTTGTATTCAATCTTTCAGATGCTTAGCTACCAAAAAACACCAATATAGTTATGAAAATTTTCAATGTATCTATCAATTATAAGTGATACCTGAAGAATTTTACCTCTTTATCTGTTCGATCCAGGAGGCTGTGCTGTACCGGAGGAATTAAATTTTCAACTGCTTTCCCCACATCACTGCGGAATGAATCACTAGCTGGAAGGCAGCTAAAATGGAAAAAATACAACATTTGATTACAATACTGACATTAAATGTTTTATCATATCATTCGATGTAACAAGGTTTTTTAGATAATGGACCAAAAGTAGATTTTTTATCAGTAAATTTAATGTAGTCATTAAATTAAATACTTGTTATAAAAATATCCTACTTCAAATAAAAATCTACCTAATTTATGTAATCAGAAGTTAAACTGTAATTACAAATCTAACTTAAGATGCTACTAAATATCTAAATTATATGCATTTTCATACTTCAGGTTATAACCCAAATTCTGAATCTTTTACTTTTAATTAAAGTGTTAACTTATTATTTATTGAATACCTGGCAGGTAGTTTGTAAATATAACCTTGTCCATTTTCAGTCCAAATGATTACTTTATCTGCTGATACAAAGTCACCTCCAGTCCATGTCTGTCCATTTTCACTAGGACCTGAACACAATAAGGAATAGTCCCCAGCATCAAATACCTACAAGGAATAAGAAATTCATAATCTAGTCCATGTTGTTGTAATTTAAGTAAGATACAGTGACACTCCAACTTAAAAAAATCCTCTGGAAATGAAGTCACTTTTAACAAGTTCAGCCCTTTAGGGTTCACTGCCTCAGATAAAGACACTTTGTCAGTGAGCCACGGGGCACAGTCACTATTAAAAGGGAAAACACAACCAGAAACCCAGCTGTAAGCAGACATGAAGTCTAAATGGTTAAAATATTCTTGCACCAAGCTTTTCCTAAAGAATATCTTTGGAAGTCTGGTAAACCAATATTTTGTGGGGTATATATACAGCTGCCTACTACGAAGTTATCTTACCCTCCAATATTTGGAGCACACAACCAAAAGTGACCTCTGCGTGAATGCACAAAAAGAGATGCTCTGGCAATTCTGACAGTAAATTGGTTTGGATTCCTCCTCAAATACTGGTTCAGTATCCTGAAAGGAGAAAAGATCTGTAAAACTTTAGGAACATTTTGATGGTCAGTTAAAATTATCACTTGATATGTTCATCATTTCAGCTCCTCATATAGGGGTCAAGGTAAAAAGCAGCAAAACTACACTCTAAAAACAGCTGGGCCCAAATGTGTTTGCTACAAGGCTATTCAGGATGAAAACACTGACAACAGTCAGAGTGTCACTGCTCTGGCAATGACAGCTGACAAAAGCTTCAACTAATTCTAATTTTTATAGCTACATGTGCTTTTAGTTTAAAAAAAACTGATCAATTCATCCAGTTTCTCACAGATTTAATGCCTAAAAATTCCCTAGCTGAAGAGATTAGCATCAGTATTGTCAGAAATCGATCTGCCTTTCTTACTGATAAAAGGCAACAAGGAATTCAAGCCCACAGAACTGAGATACAGGCCAAAAAATGGCTTTATATACTTTTTGTGGCAGTTTGTTTAGCTTTATTTTTTCCCTCGAGCAAACTACCTTTTAACTAAAACAGAAGCAATTGAGGAAAACCTCATCTCTTTTATGTTCTCTACTTCATATCCCATGCAATATGTTTCGCTATTTTGAATCCTTGATAGAACAGATGTCTACCATACAAAACAAAGAAAATAAGAGTATCCTCTACACTAATCAACAAGATTATCAAAAAGAATAGCTTTCTCCTTCTCCCACAGGGAAAAAAGTGTGGTGGATATAATTACTAAAATTTAAGACTACATAAGAAAAGCAGACAAGTCCCTTGCAGTCATTTGTCTCACCTGCAAACCACTTATTTCAGAGGTAACGATCCACACCTTCAAAATGCCCGTCACTGAGAGTGCAACCACAGTATCCTCTAAACAGAAAGGAACAAGCAGCCAAAGTTTACAAACATAACATGCTTCCTTTTTACATATTGAGATGGTCTGCTTTAATGAAATTAAACAACAGTATGTTTTACAATTAGTAGAAAAACATAATTCTGTAGTTGCTGAAATACTAGAATTCAGATTTTGAAACATAGCTTAATAGAGATCACCAAAACTTTGGAATTAAAGAAGTTGTTTCTAGCTTCTTGAATGTTTTTATTATTTTGAATCAGCAATTAATGCCTTTGATTATGTTAACGAAGAACTTTTATTCATCAAAATGGACAACTTTTAATTATTTATCATGAAAGAGCATAGTCACTTTGTTTCGATGCCCTCATTGTCCCCCCTTTCTCACTTACCGCGTCTGCCTTCCACACATTTTGTTGCACAGTACATCCTCTATAGCTTGTCATCAAGAGAAAGACATGATATAAAATCTAAATTCATAAGCTTCAGGTAAGGGGCCAGTAACAGCATCACAGGAATATACATGAACTTTGAGAGCGCAGACATTTGAAAGCAGTCTAATGCATGCTTCCAAGTGAGGGAGGAATGTGTTAAAAATGACATTTTTCTTTGCTAATTAGCCAGTGAACTGTGGCCAACTTAACTAGCCTATCTTAAACTCAATTTGCTTATCTGTTTAGCAAACATAAATATAAAAAAAAACAACCGGTTGCCATTGAGTCAATTCCATCTCATAGCGACCCTATGGGACAGAGTAGAAGTGCCCCATAGGGTTTCCAAGGAGAGGCTAGTGGTCAAACTGCTGACCTTTTGGTTGGCAGCCGAGCTCTTAACCACTGCCATTAGGGCTCATACAGCAAATATAAACCTACCTTAATAGGCTGTTATGAGAATTAAGATGCACCACAGGTGTAGCACTAGGCACATACTAAATCTTCAATAAAGATTAGTTATTAGAAAGGACCGTTTGTTATCTTTAAGTAAAAAGCTTATTATACTGCATAATTTCCTAGGCAACGTAAGACACTGGCTACAGTAATTACCACATTTCCCGTGATTCCTGTACAGAGAAGTTATAACAATTGTTCACAAGTATTGTCAATGACAGTAAAAATGCAACATAATCAATATATCTAAAATCCTCAAGTATCCACAGACAAGAATATGGTAAATGCAGATTAAAACGCATATGCAGAAATGCAGGATATAGTAAATGTAGAAAACCACGTTTATAACATTATAAGCCAATAAGATTCAGAATTACATGGACTGCACAAAATTTTCCATTAAAATTGCATTCTATTCTGTTCAGAATACCAGACCACGGAGTGTGCTCATGTATCCCATATATGGAGTGTAATAATTCAAAATGTGCAAATTATAGTAAATTTTTCAAGAAAACATTCACTGTAACTAAGATTAGAGGTGGAGCCCTGGTGGCGCAGTGGTTAAGAGCTTGTCTGCTAACCAAAAGGTCAGCAGTTCGAATCTATCAGAGGCCCCTTGAGGTAGTTCCACTCTGTCCTATAGGGTCACTATGAGTAAAAATCGACTCGATGGCAATGGGTTTAGAGGTGAACATGCTAATAATGAGTTCCCTATTGCCTGTAAAATTAAATTGAATCTCACTTTCACTTTTCATGCTTTTGTTGTTATTGTTGTTGTGTTGGTAGGTCCCGTCAAGTCAGTTCCAACTCACAGTGACCCTGTGTACAACAGAACGAAACACTGCCTGGTCCTGCACCATCCTCATAGTTGTTGCTATGTTTAAGCCCACTGTTGCAGCCACTGTGTCTATCCATCTCATTGAGGGTTTTCCTTTTTCGCTGACTGTCTACTTCACTAAGCATGATGTCCTTCTCCAGGAACTGATCCCTCTTGATAACATGTCCAAAGTATATAAGACATAAGTTTTGCCGTCCTTGCTTCTAAGGATAAAAGCTTCACACTTTTATAAAGCAGCAATTCACTAATATACCTAAAAAAACCTCTCTGAGACAGTCTCACATTAAAGAAGTCTGCTCAATTCTATTTTACCAAACACCTCCTAAACATACTTGACCATAGAACCTTCCTTTTTCACTAACACCTATTAACAAATCTGACAAATTCCCTTAAGAACACCCCTGGAAAATATTATAAGTCTATTAAATCTTTTTCCAAAGTCATTGCCTTAGTTGAGACCTGCATCATCTCTCAGCTGGACTATTGCAATAATATCATCACTAGTCGGCTTCCATCTAAACCTTCTCAAAAATGTCACCAAATTGATTATTTAAAAATAAGTCCCTTCACACATTCTTATCCAGAGACTATCCATCATCTACAGCAGGGATTGGTAGGCTTCATACAGTCCATGGCCAAATCCAGCCTACTGGCTGTTTTTATAAATAAAGTTTTATTAGAACATCAGTTGCCATCAAGTCAATTCCAACTCATGGTGACCCCATGTGTGTCACCCTAGAACCATGCTCCATAGGGCTTTCAATGGCTAATTTTTCGGAAGTAGATCATCAGGCTTATCTTCTGAAGCACTTGTAGGTGGACTTGAACTTTCAACCTTTTGGTTAGCAGCCAAGCGCATTAACTGTTTGCACCACCCAGGGACTACTTATCAGAACGCAGTCAGGCTTATTCACTTACATGTTATAGTTGCTTTTGCACTATAACAGCAGAGTTGAATAGCTGCAACACAGACTATATGGCCTGCAAAGTCTAGAATATTTATGATCTGGACCTTTACAGTAAAAGTCTGTCGACCCCGATCTATAGGGTGAAATCCAAGTTACCAACTGGCATACAAGGTTCTTCACGATCTAGACCCTGCCAACACTGCCAACCTCATATTCTGCCAAACCAAAAAAAAAAAAAAAAAAAAAAACCCAAACCCACTGCCATTGAGTCAATTCTGACTCACAGCAATGCTATCGGACAGAGTAGATCTGCCCCATTGGGTTTCTAAGGAGTGGGTGGTGGATTCAAACTGTCTACCTTTTGGTTAGCAGCCGAGCTCTTAACCACTGCACCACCAGGGCTCCCATATTCTGCCACTCCTCCCTTAATACTTCTTACCCTAGAAAAAGATCATTTATAGTTCCCCACATATGCCTAGACTATTTTTAATACTTTTGCACCTTTGTACAGACTATTTCCTCTGCCAGCAACATCCTGATCTCCAAGTCTGCCAAACAAACTCCTCCTCATCTTCCAAATGCTAGAACAGATTTCATGGTATCTGGGCAGCCTTTCATAAGGCCCTCCAGTGCCTTCACTGCCCTTGCTAATTCCATCCTCTCTGTACTAGTTCTTCACCTTGTATACGTTTCTACTGTCACACTTTAAATCCAGAACTAATATTTGTTTATATATCATTCTCCCTTGCTAAAATCTGATTCCCTTAAGTAGTTCAACCCCCTATACCTAGAAGATAATAGGCACTCAACAAATATTTGCCAAATGGCTGATGAACAAAAAGCTATGTGCTGATTTCCAACCTTAAAACTTTAAAAAGGAAAGCTCCCATAAAATTGAAAACAGTTCATGATGGGAAGCAGTGTAACACAGTGGTTCAGATAATATCTCTGGGGTCCAAGTGGCCACCCATCACCCACATACTAGCCCTGTGATCTTAGGCAAAGACTGACTCTACCATCCTAAACCTCATTCTACTCATCTATATGATGGATAACAACAGTGCCCGCCCCACTGGGCATTGTGAGAAAGATAATATACGTAAATGCTTATTAACATGGTGCTTGATACTATAAGCACTCAATAAATGAAGTGCTGGTTGGTGGTATAGGTCAGATTTTACAGAAGAGTATATAAACATAAAGCCATTCGGAGGAAAAACAGTGTTCCTAAAAAGGCTAATGAGAATATACACTTGATGTTCAACATTAATCATTGTTCTTTTCCTAAACAATTTTACTTTCACTCTAATGGTTGTTATTGAAAAGGTTTTCAATAGAAATGAAAAAAGGATACTAGTATTTATTGAGCATCAACTATATACTAGGCACTTACGAGGAACTTTCATTAAATTTAACTGTGTATCAAAAGGACAAAAATTGTATGAGACCTCTATTGTAAAAACCCATGAAAAAGTTCACACACAAAATGTAACAATCTTTGTTGGTTACCAGGGATGGGAGGGGTGGGG